AAATACCAAACTACCCTGTATCGCTTCTTCTCTCTTACAGATGTATGATATAGTTCGTTTGAAACTGTCCTGGATTAAAAAAATGCTCAAAGATGAGCTAGATGATAAGAATACTGTTCAGGAGTATGGCTGCCCTAACTGCAAAAGAAAGTAAAGTCCACTACTCTTTATGTCATAAAATCTTTGCATTTATGAGTTGTATTATGCTTGCAAAACCTGAATAGATTCTCATTTCTGGTATAGATATAATGCACTGGATGCCCTGAGATTAATTTCGATGGAAGACGATTGTTTTCATTGTGAAAATTGCAATGGTGAACTTGTTGTGGAATGCGACAAGCTTAGTTCCGAAGAAGTAGTAGATGGAAATGCAAGGAGACGGCAGCAGGAAAAACTAAAAAATTTGCTTAAGAATTTGGTAATACTGTTTTAGCGGCTCAGTTGAATGAAATTTTAACAAAACAGAAATTTATTTGCCTTCACTGAAGCTGTGCATCGTTCCGTATTCATGATGACGTCAGAATGATTTATGATCTTGATTTAGCTTTCTAGGAGATCAGTTCTTAAATGGCCAAAATGATTGAGATTGAAGAGAATGAGGGCCTGTAGCTGTATTTAAATGTCTCCTTAGTGGTTGGTTTTATTTTTTCGCAGCAAGTTATCAATGGCTTACATTCTATTACCTTGATTCATGCGTATTTATATTTTTGGTTTAAGAATAGAGACCTGCACTTTAGTCATGCTGATATTTTAGTTCAGTCTCGACATCATCTAATATTTACTTATAAGTTGATGAGGTAGGAAAAGATTGTCTTTGGTTATGTCATGTTATACCTTACTGTTTTAGTGATTAGTTTTACTTGATTGGTGTTCTCTGTATTCTGGCATTAGTTATGTAGTTGGTGCGTTGACAAAATTGGAAATAAATTGCAGGATCGACTGGGACCTCTGATGGAGCAAATAAATAGAGTAAAAGACCTACCCTTTCCTGCCTATGAAACTTTTCCAGCATGGGAGGCTCGTGCAGCTAAGGCTGCTCGTGAAAATGGTGATTTTAACCCTAATGATCCATCGAGGTCACAGGGTGGGTATGGTTCAACACCGATGCCATTTCTTGGGGAGACAAAGGTGATTATTAGTTACAGTTGTTAATGTACATAGTAGCTCAATGTTATTGTGGAAGATGCGGTAATGGTATTGTAATGAAATTTTTCTCTTTTACTGTGGTTGGTTGATTCCGTAAATCTTACATGGTCAGGTTGAGGTTAACCTTGGCGAAGGAACAGAAGACGTCAAGTCAAAAGGTGGAGATTCTAGTCTGAAAGTCTTGCCTCCATGGATGATCAAGTCAGGAATGAATCTGACAGATGAACAAAGAGGAGAGATGAGACGGGAAACAAAGGTTGAGGATGGTGGCTCAGAAGGAGCACCTAAACTTTCGGATGACAAGAAATCAGCCATGGGAAATGGCAATGATGAGGATATAAAGGCATGCATTTGTGGACAGACTCTTTGCGTCTATTTAGATTCCCACAGTAGAATTTTGTTAATCAAAGTATTTTCTGTCTTTTTTCAGGACGAGTATGCCAAAGCTTACTACGCCGCTCTACTACGGAAGCAGCAAGAGCTAGCTGAAAAGCAGAATCAGCAAGAAGGCGAAATAACCCCTCATGAGATTCAATCGGTTACTTCAACATCCTCCGATCGTCAGGTTGGTATGAAGTCCACACGT